TTTATGGCTGACCCTGTATTGAGAATGATACCTGGAGTGCCAGCTAGCTGACACATACCCGATAGGGTTCAAGTAGAATATTGCAAAAACCCAGAGGACATTTCTGAATACTTGACACTACTCAAGGTGGCAAAGGAGAGACATGGAGCCATTTGAGGTTGTCTTGGTTCATGTGCTAATGTGCCTTATATTAGGGATGAATGAATTTCAGTGTCTCTGAAAAGCCATCAGTGGATCTCCCTTGTCAATGTTTGTGTATTGCATAAAGCCAATCGCATTTTAATAACCATATGAGCTACTTGTTCGGGGACTATTATTTAATTGGAAACAAGTGAATTAACCACCTAATTCATCAAATCTAAGTTGCCATCGTTTATAAGATGTAGCTTTATTTTATGTACTATTAAACAAAAAGATGCAGCCAATTACATTGTAACACAATGTCTAAATGAGGCTCCTGAACAACATATGAATCAGTCATATAAGTCTTACTGCTTTGAAATTTCTTTCAATCTATTCAGAGACGGAAGGCAATTTATGTTCCCTTCAATTGCATTGTTTGCTGGGTGATGTGGAAAATTTTTTTTTGCATGTGTCTCAGTAACAGAATGTAACACAGCTTCATCTCCTTGTCATCTTTTGTTTTGCTCCTGAAAAGCACTCAATTGTTGCATTGCAAGAAAGCATGGAATTACATCCATTCCTCCAATGACTAATATTTGCTTCACTAATATCAAATTTGTACCTTGCTGCTCAGTTTCTGGGCCTTTACGGGAACACAAAAATAAGGTATTCATTTCAGTGCCAAATCATGCTGTAATCTTTTTGAAGACATTGTCAGGAGCACTTACACTCAGCACATGTTGTGCATATAATGCACATGACTCTCCTGACGCGATGGCAATGAACAGCTATGGCCAAGCACCCATGCACAGGTAAGGACAACGGTGTCACTGCTACTGTCTGGCTGACCGCTACTGTTGAAGTGCTGTTGCCTCTAGGGCTGATTTCAGGAATGCTAGCATTAAAAAAAAAGTGCACCCTAAAATTATGAAATCCAGTAAAGTCCCTCAACTTAGATTCCAAATCATTTTTCTAATATAAATGTTTAAGAATGGCCACAACTGAATGTCATAGGGTAGCAATAATTTTAACTTTTAAAAACATGCAAAATAATGATATTGTTCAGTTAGGGAATATGGGCATATGAGGGATTGAGACAGACAGACTTGATAAGAGAAATGTAAGAAAAATGCAAATCAAAGAAAGTTACGCATTGAATCCTAGAGGCCACCACAGCCCTCTCTCTGTTCCCTGCTGCATGATTTTAAGTATTCTGTCCAGTGTTAAGAAAAAAAGCCAGCGTCCTAGAGTCAGCATGACCCTCAGCGGATACCACAGGCAGAACAGTTTACATTTTTTCTGAAGTGCTGGAGCTACGAACCTGTTCTGAGCTTCCCACTACCCTCAACTGAGAGGAAAGTTAAGTGAATCCTTCATAAAACAAGTTTTGCAACCACAGCATGACCTCAGCAGACTTTCACTCTATGGGACAGAGCTGTTGGTATTCATATCATACTTTTGAAACTTTTAAAGTATTTTAGTAGAAAGGCTTTTTGAAATTGCATTTTATGCCTGTGGAAGAGATTCCAACTGACTGGTTCTATTTAAACTGTCTATATCCCCCTACCCTTTATTTATTTGTAATATTGCAATACGTAGCCTCAAAGAGGTCAGTCTGAACTTTGAACTTAGAACTCTACACTAATATTTGTACCACTGTAAATCTGTCATCATTTGTTTTGCTCAAACTGAGAAAACAGAGTTTTTCAAGGAGAAAAGAGATATAAAGAAGCATAAGAAAAATTACATTTATAAAGCAAAAGTAGGCTTATTAAGGATTTCAGAAACTTTTATTTCTAATGGGTTTGAATCTTTCCATCTTTCATGTCCTTGTACGGACAGAGCTCCCTTTGAAGCCTTTGGAAGCTTTCTGTAAGAAAGGATATATACACACATGGGTGTGAGCTGAAAATTGAGCTCATTGTTTTGCCCTTTCAAACGTGATTTTCAAAGATTTGCCTTTCATATTGCAGATGGGAGAGAGGATATGCAATTTTACCTTGTGTAACATCTTTGCCTGAAAAGCCCAAAGTATTTGTAGACATTTTTTAAAGAATGGTTTCCATGTTTGCCTGCTGAGGAAAGCAGAGGTTCATGTCATTTACTTCCATTTTACACCCAAGGAAACTGATATTTAGGAAAAAGAGGCTCAGAATTTCAACCAGTGGCAAAATTAAGAAAACAAGCCCAAACCTTGCCACCAAGCTGATGATCCCAGAGGTTGAATGTAACCTCCAAAAGAAATGCTATGATAAGAAAAAATTCGCCATAGAATCATCATGCTCCATTTTAGTATGAACCTTGTATTTATTATGTAGAATCATTTGTATTTCTTTTTATTGCTTTCTAGTTTATCGGCCTATTTATTGTTTTAATAACTCCTGATTTTGAGTCATTATTAAAATTGAGTTCCAGTAATGCTTCTGTCGCCATTCTAACTCATTCCAAGTGCAGAAGAGAAACCAAACTGCATGTGGAAACATGGAACTCGGGTCTGTGTAAAGCCGATGAGATTGTACTTGACTAATTTTCTCTATACACGCAGAACAGTTAACAAATGTGCCTAAAACTCAAAACGATGTACTTAAGTTCTCTTGACAAATGTATGTGAATCATGACATAAACTCAACTGGCTGTGCACATCAACATCATTTTTACTAAAAAGATGAAATTTCATCCTAAGTAGTTATAATTACATCAAGATTATTCATTTGGCCATTTAAGCAAATGGAAATGAACCAACTAAAATAATTTTGAATACAGAAATTATGTCAACACCATTTAAAAGGGTCCATGAAACACAAAGTTGATGTATCTTGTCTTTTGCCACTTACCAAATGCCCCAAAATGCATGGCAGAGATTGTTCAGCTGAAATAAAGCCAATGTTCAAAAAACAAAGATGTAGTTCCTGACTTCTAGGAGTTAATAGTCTAGTGGGAGGGTGGCAGGCAACCAAATAAATGGATAAAAGCAACCACAAACTCCTCTAGTGACTCAGCTACTCACATGTACAGTGTTCTGTTTCAGAAGCTCGTAAGAAATTATAAAGAGGTTAAAATGTAAACATTTGCTCATTTCTATTTCCTATTTTCTCATCTCAGCCCGTGTCCTCCTCGCCCTCCAGCCCCCAAGCTCAACTCTAGAATTTCCTGATAGGGCATCATATATTATCATTCCTGCCTTTCCTGCCTAAGCAATAGAATTCATGCTTTGTATTTTAAACTCATTATGAGAGTTGACATCAACTTTAAGAAATATTTCTTTTAGCCTTAAAAGTTCACTTATACACCATGATGTATGGTTTGTTTTATCTTGCTGGGGTACTTGTTGAAATCTACACTTAAAATCATCCATTTGCCTAAAATGCTAACCTAATGCCGTTAGAAAAACAGAAATGTCTTGAAAGCTTGAAAGGATGTGGAGATAAGAATTGGATTTCCCATCCATATTATTCCTGGTACGGTAAATAGCTTACAGTCCACCCTATTTAATTTTTGAAATAATTTTCCATTATGAGGATCATTTAATTTCTGTCTATAAAATATGAGTCAAGAGCTAGGGTTTTTATTTTTACTCTACTATGAAGGAAATCAGACCCAAAACAGGCTCTCCTATGCATGGGACACTATTTGGTGGATGTTCAGAGGGAGAAAAGGAAAAGCTGGCTTGACGCAGAGGATCTTGCGTGTTTGTTTTTCTTTCCCATGAAAACTTGTAGCTTGAAGGAACATAAAGGAAGAAAATATTCTGCCTTCATCAGAAAATAACCCGTGCTTCCTGCTTCTATGCAGAACAAACCCTTCACAAAGCAGCAGAAGCTGTCTTCATTTACGGCTGTCACTGAAAGGGGTGTCCAGGCTCGGAAGAATTTTTTTTTCGAGGCATTTAAAAACCGTCTATACTAGTAAAAGGAAAACATGATTTTTTCAGGTCAGAGGACTTCATCATACCTGGCAATGGATATGTTTATAATTAAAACCTGGGCACAAAATCGAGTGAATCATTGTGATGCCCCATCACTCTCCTGAGACACCCACCATCATTGGTACTGGTTGCTGGCTCTTGACACCAGAGGCCACTTTGTGTACTTAGCAGTTATAAAGGTGATGTGTGAGGCCCGACAGCTGTTAGTGTTACAGCTATTGTGTAAGAAACAAAAGCCATTCTGTTCTCTTCCCCAGCCTGCCTTTGTATCACTGATACAGGAGCTGTTTCATAAATGAGGTATAATTCTTTACCAGAGAATTTCATTACTGCCCATGTTTCAATGTTAGCTTACACTTCCAACAGCAGAGGGGAATGTCTGATCATGTCTCCTTTTGAAAAGAATCTTGGCTTCTGACCTCTGTCAAGATGCTTGCATTTTAAATCTGTTAACGAGACCTGCGATTAGATGCCATCATTTCAACACCTATGCTTCCCACCTTCTTTGCTCTAGACCACTCAACCTAAGGCTGGCTAGAGTGTATTTGCCATCAGCCTCCCTGTCTTGGAAATTAAGCAGAGTATGCAGTACACAAGTGGCACTCAGCTGAATTAGTAGGAACTGGATTTCTCGTGCAATTCCTCATTGATCTGTTCTGGGAAATTTTCATAGAGCAAATCAGAACTGACATTTATTTGAATAACATGCACTTTTTCACCCAAATGGTATATTCATGTGGGCTCCAGGCCCATAACACTTGGGGGTGACTATCCTGAAGCTATACCTGGCATCTGGTTCTTACTTCAGGGCCATAAAGCTAAGATCATCCACACATTCCCCTTAAATAAGACATCTCAATGGACTAGTGACTACCACCCTGTTAACCAGCCATGGGAGCACTGTCAGGCATTTGGTATTTTTTTACCAAATTTGGGGGATGCTATCACTCACCATCGCGGAAGGCTGGTCCCCTCCGAATCCGCTATAGATGAACTTGGATTTTATTCCTGCCAAATCAATTGTAGAAGCTGAGTTTATATTGAATACTCCAAGCTAGCATAATAACCATCAAGTGCCAATTAATTCATGCTTGAAGGACATAATTAATCAATAGATACGTACGCTCATGCACGTATGCTCACTTTCAAGAACTGTTTCCAATTAAATCTGCAAGTCCCCTCCCCCAACTCTGACTTTACCATCAACTTAGGCAAATGTACCCTTGCCAAACCCCAAAAACAAGAGACTAAAATGCAGCCCAGTCAGAGCCCAGAAATCATATTTTAATCATGACTACCCCAACAGCTACCCTCAATTGCTGCAATTTTCCTAAAAATCCTAAGACCCTCCTGCTAAATCAAGCTTCCATTTTATATAATTGTACTAACTAAATTTCCACCCTAATACTAATATAATACGTTGAGCATATCCCTCTGAAAGCACTACTCCATATATCATGCCCTGAACCAATTATACTCTAATTATGAGTAACCTCTTAACCAAACATCTGCCAATTCAAGACTGAATTCCCAGAAATGTAAACGACTGCTTATACATCTCTCTTTTTCATATTTTAATTTTACACTTAAGTATGCAGTTAATGTAGCTTAATTATTCAAAGCAAGACACTGAAAATGTCTAGATGGGTCCATGCAACACCATAAACAGATAGGTTTTGTCCCGGCCTTTCTATTAGCCATTAGTGACATTACACAGGCAAGCGCCCCCGCCCCAGTGAAAATGCCCTCTAGATCACTGGGATCAACAGGAGCAGGTAACAGGCATGCACTAATGTATCTCAAAACACCTTGCTCAACCATGCCCTCATGGGAAACAGCAGTGATACACCTTTAGCAATAAACAAAACTTTAAGCTCTACTGATATTCAGAGTTAGTCAGTTTCGTGCAAGCCACTGCAGCCATACGATTAACCCAAGCTAATAGAACTCAGCGTAAAGAGTGTTTAGGGTCTGCCCTCAGTAAAGCTAAACTCCGTCTAAGTTGCAAAAAACTCCAGCCGAAATAAAATGTACTATGAAAGTGGCTTTAATATCCTGAAGACACAATACCTAAGGCCCAAACTGGGATTTGGTACCCAACTATACTTAGCCCTAAACTCTAATAATTATATTAACAAAACCATTTGCCAGAACTACAAGAAACAGCTTAAAACTCAGAGGACTTGTCGGTGCTTTATGTCCCTCTAGAGGAGCCTGCTCTGTAATAAATCCCGATACACCTCACCACCTCTTGCCCCCAGCCTATATACTGCCATCTTCAGCAAACCCTAAAAAGGTTACAGAGTAAGCACAAGTATACACATAAAAATGTTAGGTCAAGATGTAGCTCGTGAGATGGCAAAAAATGGACTACATTTTCTATATAGAGAAAAATCTCACGACAACCTTTATGAAATTTAAGGCCTCCAGGAGGATTTATCAGTAAACCAAGAGCAGAGTGCTTGGTTGAATAATGCCATGAAGCACACACACACCATCCGTCACCCTCCTCAAATATTACTCTAGGAACTACTATTACTAAAAATTCTCTGCACACATATGGAGGAGATAAGTCGTAATATGGCTTTAAGCCAACTCTAGCCCCAAACCTCACTAAAAATATTATCAAATCATCTTAACTAAACCATTTACCTTAGATAAAACTATAGGCGATAGAAATGTTTACCCTGGCACAATAGATACAGTACCGTCAGGGAAAGGTGAAAGAACAGAATCAAGCATTAAAAAGCAACAAGAAGCCCTTATAACTTCTGCATAATGTATTAACTAGAAATAACTTTACACAGAGAACCATAGCCAAGACCCCCGAAAGCAGATGAGCTACCCAAGAAGAGCTGAAAGAGCACACCCACCTATGTGGCAAAATAGTGGGAGGATTTATGAACAGAGGTGACAAGCCTACCAAGCCTGGTGATAGCTGGTTGTCCAAGATAAAATCTTAGTTCAACATTAAACTTAATCACAGAATTACTAATCTCCCTGTAAGTTTAACTGTTAGTCTAAAGAGGGACAGCTCTTCAGACCCTAGGGAACAACCTTCCTATACAGAGTAAAAAATATTACCACCATAATTGGTCCCAAAGCACCCACCAATTAAGAAAGCATTCAAGCTCAACATCTAGCTATCTTAAATTCTAATCACTCTACTGAACTCCTGACATCACATTGGACTAATCTATTATTTAATAGAAGCAATAATGATAATCTAAGTAACATGAAGACAATCTCCATTGCATAAGCTTACATCAGACTGGAATAATCTACTGACAGGTAGCAGCCTAAACTTCAGCAGTAGAAGAAGCATCCTCCTATTCATACTGTTAATCCAACACAGGTATACTCTAAGGAAAGACTACAAAAAGTCAAAGGAACTCGGCAAATCTTACCCTGCCTGCTTACCAAAAAATCACCTCTAGCATTACTAGTATAAGAAACACTACCCGCCTAGTGACATATGCTCAACGACCGCAGTATGCTGACTGTGCAAAGGTACCATCATCACTCTCTTCCCAAACAGGGACTTGTATTATGGCCGCACAAGGGTTTAACTGTCTCTTCCTTTCAATCAGTGAAATTGACCTATCCATGAAGAGGCGCATATAAACAAATAAGACAAGAAGATCCTATGGAGCGTTGATTTATTAATGCAAATAAAAACTCAAGGCTACAGGCCCTCGCCTACTACCCCTGCATTAAAACTTTTGGCTCGGGTGACCTCGGAGCGTAATTCAACCTCCAAACAACCTAAACCAAGACCATACTAATTCTAAGTGAGTTAACATACATTGACCCAATAATTTGATCAACGGAATAAGTTACCCTGGGGATAAGAGCGCAATCGTATTCTAGAGTCCAGATTGACAATAGGGTTTACGACCTTGAGGTTGAATCAGGACATCCTAATGATGTAGCTGCCATTAAGTGTTCATTTGTTCAATGATTAAAGACCTATGCGATCTGAGTTCAGACCAGAGTAATCCAGGTCGGTTTCTATCTATTTGACATTTCTCCTAATAAGAAAGGGCAAGAGAAATAGGGCACACTTCACAAAGCGCCCTCGCCCCATAGAAGATGCTATCTCCGCCTAATAGATCATCACACACTCTACCCAAGAACAGGGTTTGTTTAGATGGCAGAGCCTGGCAATTGCATCAAACTTAAAACTTTATAATCAGAGGTTCAACTCCTCAACAATATGCCTATAAGTAACCTTCTCCTACTTATTATTCCCACTCTAATCACTGTAGCATTCCTTACACTCACTGAACGAAAGATCTTAGGCTATATACAACTACGGAAAGGACCTAACATGTAGGGCCCTGCAGACTGCTTCAGCCATTCCCTGATGCAGTAAAACTTTTCACCAAAGAACTCTTAACAGCCCTCAACATCTACTATCACCATTTATATTATTGCTCCAGCCCTGGCCCTTTCTATCATTCTCCTCTTGTGAACTCCCATCCCTATACCAGATCCTCGAATTGATTTTAATATAGTCCTCCTATTAATACTAGTCACATCAAGCCCAGCCTTCTATTCTATGATCAGGATGAGCATCTAATTCAAATTATGCACTCACTGGTGCATTATGAGCTGGGACCCAGACAATTTCATATGAAGTTATCCTAGCTGTTATCCTATTATCAGTTATACTGATAGGTGGCTCATTTAACTTATATGCACTCATCACAACGCAAGAATTCCTCTGACTCCTGCTGTCATGGCCCCTAGCCATAATACGGTTTATTTTCACACTAGCGGAAACTAACCAAGCCCCTTCTGATCTAACAGAAGGAGAGTCAGAGTTCATCTTGGGCTTCAACATCAAATATGTCACAGGTTCATTTGCCCTGTTCTTTATAGCAGAATTACATGAATATTATCATAATAAACGCCCTACTACTGTTTTCCTAGGAGCACTACACACTATGTATTCACCAGAACTCTATACCACAGATTTCATTACCAAGACCCTTTTAACCACCCCGTTTATATGAGTTTGAGTAGCATACCCAGAGTTTGAGTAGCATACCCTCAATTCTGCTATGACCAGCTTATATGTCTTCTATGAAAACATTTCTACAACTTACACTAGCATTCCGCATAGATCTCAATCCCTGTCCTAATTTCCAGCATCCCACCCCAAACATAGGAAGTATGTCTGACAAAAGAATTACTTCGATAGAGTAAACAAATAGAGGTTAAAATCCTCTAATTTCTAGGACTATGGGAATTGAACCTACTCCTGAGTATTCAAAAATCTCTATGCTACCTATTACACCACATCCTAAAGTAAGGTCAGCTAAATAAGCTATCAGACCTATACCCAAAAATGTTGGTTGTGCCCTTCCCATACTAATTAATTCATTAGCTCAACTTATTATCTCCCTTACTATTTTCACAGGAACCCTTATCACAATGCTATGCTCACACTGATTTCTCATCTGGACAGGCCTAGAAATAAACATACTAGCTCTTACCCCAAATCTTAGTTAAAGAAAAAAAAAAAAACCCACTCTACAGAAAAGCCAACAAATATTTCCTTGCACAAGCAACCACATCTGTAATTCTCAGGATCGGTATCCTTTCCAATAACCTGCCCTCCAGACAATGAACAATTATAAATACTGTTAATCAATTTTCATCCTTAATAACAGTAACGGCCCTTAATAAAACTAGGAATAGCCCCCTTTCACTTCTGAATTCCAGAGGTAACCCAAAGGATCTCTCTAATGTCTGGCATTATTCTCCTCATATGACAAAAACTAGCCCCTAGCTTGATTATGTTTCAGATTTTCCCATCAGTAGACACAAACATCCTCCTGTCTATCACAGCCCTATCCATTAGAGTGGGCCGTTGAGGGGTACTTAACCAAACGCAACTATGGAAAATCCTAGCCTACTCCTCAATCACTCACATAGGTAGAATGATAGCAGTACTGACGTATAATCCAAACATTAGCATTCTAAACCTAATCATTTTAACAACTACCGCATTTCTAGCACTCAGCCTGAGTGTAAGCACTACAACCCTGTCACTATCTCATGCCTGAAACACATTAACATGGTTAATACCTATAATTCCACTAATTCTACTATCCCTAGGAGGTTTACCTCCATTAACAGGATTTTCGCCTAAGTGACTCATCATTCAAGAATTTATTTAAAATAACAGTCTTCTTACCCCGACCATTGTAGCTATCATAACCCTACTTAACCTATACTTTTATATACGCCTCATTTATTCCATCTCAATGACAATATTCCCCATATCTAATGTGTGAAAATAAAAGGACAATTTGAAAACACAAAACCCGTCCTACTCCTCCACCCACTTATCATTTCTTCTACCTTCCCTTACCCGTCTCTCCATTAATACCAATTACAACTTTAAAATATAGGTTAAATAAGATCAAGGGCCTTCAAAGCCCTTAGTAAGTCAATTATACTTAATTTCTATAACAGATCTAAGGACTGCAGGACTCTATTCCCCGTCAATTGAATGCAAATCAACCACGTTAATTAAGCTAAGCCCTCACTAGATTGGCAAAATTTAGTTAACAGCTAAATACCCTAATCAACTGGCATCAATCTACTTCTCCCAACATTGGGGGAGAAAGTGGGAGAAGCCCAGCAGGATTGAAGCTGCTTCTCTTGAATTTGCAATTCAACAAGATAAATCACCTCAGGACTGGTAAAAAGAGGCCTCGACCACTGTCTTTAGATTTACAGTCTAACGCTTACTCACCCATTTTACCTTTCTTTCCACTTATGTTCACCAATAATTGATTGTTCTCAGGTACTCACAGGTAACAGAATACTACACCTGCTGTTTCGTGCATGAGCGGGGATCCTGGGCACCGCCTTGACCCTTCTAATCCAAGCAGAATTAGGCCAACCAGGGATTCTGCTAGGAGGTGATCGGATCTACAATGGTATTGTCACTGCCCACACACTTGTCATCATCTTCTTTATGGTTATACTAATCATAATTGGGGGTTTCAGCAACTGACTGGCCCCTTTGATAATTGGTGCACCTGATATGGCATTTCCCCAGTTAACCATTACAAACTGCTGACTTCTCCCTACCTCTTCCATACATCTGCTGATATCCTCAACAGTAGAAGCCTGCGCGGGAACCGCTGAATAGTTTATCCCCCTTCAGCAGGAAACTTAGCACATGAAGGAGCCTCTGTGGATCTGACTGACCATCTTCTCACTCCACTTGGCAGGTGTTTCTTCTATTTTAGAGGCCATTAACTTTATTCCCTCAATTATTAACATAAAACCCTCAGCCATATTCCAGTATCAAACACTCCTTTTCATCTGATTAGTCCTCATTATGGCAGTCTTTCTACTCCTTTCCTGCCCAGTTCTAGCTGCTGGCATAACTATACTATTAACTGCCTGTAATCTCATCCCTACTTTTTTTCACCCTCTTGGAGGGAGTGACCCTATCTTGAACCAACATTTATTCTGATTGATAGTAGACTTCAGGTCAAGCTGAAGTCTGTATCCTTATCCTACCAGGCTCCAGGATAATCTCCTATATTGTAGTATTACTCTGGAAACAAAAGAGCCATTTGGGTATATGGGCATAGTATGGGCCATAATATCAATTGGCTTTTTAGGATTTATCGAATGGGCTTACCATATATTTACAGGAAGAATAGACATAGACACATGAGCATACTTCACCTCCGCTACCAAAATTATTGCTATCTCTGCTGGCGTCAAGCTCTTTAGCTGATTAGCTACACTGCACGGTGGTAACATCAAATGATCTCCCGCAATATTCTGAGCCCTAGGATTCATTTTCCTTTTCACAGTAGGAGGTATAACCTGCATTGTACTAGTTAATTCATCACCAGATATTGTTTTACATGACACACGTTATATTGTAGTTCATTTCCACCACTACCAATAGGAGCAGTATTCGCCATCATAGGAGGCTTTGTTCACTGATATCTTCTGTTTTCAGGTTATGCACTTAATCAGACTCTTGCTAAAATCCACTTCACCATTATATTAATAGGTGTTAATTTAACCTTTTTCCCACAGCACTTTCTCGGCCTATCCGGTATGCCCCGACATTACTCCGATGATCCTGATGCACGCACCACATGAAATATTATCTCATCCACAGGCTCATTTATCTCACTAATAGCAGTTATACTAATAATCTTTACAATCTGAGAAGGACTGTAGGACTAAGGACCGCAGGACTCTATTCCCCGTCAATTGAATGCAAATCAACCACGTTAATTAAGCTAAGCCCTCACTAGATTGGCAAAATTTAGTTAACAGCTAAATACCCTAATCAACTGGCATCAATCTACTTCTCCCAACATTGGGGGAGAAAGTGGGAGTCTCCCAACATTGGGGGAGAAAGTGGGAGAATCCCAGCTTCAAAACAATAAGTTCTAACAACTGAACAATCGTCTACTAATTTAGAGTGACTTTACAGCTGTCCATCACCTTACCACACATTCGAAGAGCCAACCTACGTGAAAACCTAAACGAAAAAAGAAGAAATTGAACCTCCAGAAACTGGTTTCAAGCCAATCCCATAACCTCTATGACTTTCTCAATAAGATATTAGTAAAATAATTACATAACTTTGTCAGAGTTAAGTGTAGGTGAAATCCTATATGTCTTAATGGCTGATCTAGTTCAATTAGGCCTCCAAGACACTGCATCTGCTGTTATAGAGGAACTGCTCACCTTCCATGACTACACTCTTATTTTCCTAATTAGTTCCCTAGTCCTATGTAGTATTTCCCTAATACTCACAACAAAATTAACTCAAACTAGCACCACAGTTGCACAAGAAATCACAACTGTCTGAACTATCTTACCTGCCATTATCTTCATTTTAATTGCCCTCCCGTTCCTAAATGTATTCTGTGTATAACAGATGAAGTTAACAACCCTTCTCTTACCATAAAAGCAACTGATCACAATGATATTGAAGCTATGAATATACAGATTATGAAGAATCAGGCTTCGATTCTTATATAGTTCCAACAGCAGACCTAAAGCCAGGAGAACTTCAACTCCTCGAAGTTGATAACCGAACAATTCTCTCAATGGAGATCCCCATCCATGTCTCATCTGAAGAAGTCCTGCACTCACAGGCTATCCCCTTATTAGGCCTAAACAGAGGCAATCCCCAGACACTTCAACTACCTTGACTGCTATATAACCAGGCCTTTACTATGGACTGTGTTCAGAAATTTGTGGGTCAAACCACAGTTTTATTTTGCTTGGCCAAATCTTGCTTTGGCCAGATTGAGGAAATATTCCTATTTTCACTTACCTTTCTTGTATTTCTGCCATTGCCATGAGAACATGCCTTGGCTCTCTTGCATCAAATAAGAGAAATGTGAGGCAGGTTTGGAATCTGCAGGTTGGAGCCAGACCCAGCTGAGTCCATCCTAGATCAGCCTACTTCCAGCTGACCCAGAATTGCATGAGCCAGAATAAGTGACAGCTGTTTTAAGCCAATGCATTTTGAAGTGGTTTGTTACACAGCACTATTGTGGCACTATCTGAAGAGTCTAAAGGTAGTATGGGTTTCAGGTAGGGTTTGAAAACAATTCCTGTTGTATTTATCTGTGATTCTCTTGGGGCTTCAACCCAGGATGGTTTCCCTCTTGGCATGATGACTATAGCCATCTCAGGCTTCACATTTACACCACATGCCATCCAGAAAGCAATAAAACTTCTCTTCTTCAACTATCATGCAAAAGTCCTGGGCTTCACTTTAATTAGGTCAACTTAGGTCCTGAACCAATCATTGAGGAAAGACAGTGGGAGTATGCGACTTGGTTTACGTGAATTTGAGTCCCTCTTGAAGATGGGAGTAAGTCCAGTGTCTTCCAAAATCTCTGTTGTGCCAAATTAAAGGTGGGAGTTGTAGGGTGGAATAGATGTCGAGAGGTACAAACAAAGCTAACCATGGAGAGTCTGAAATCTCCCACTTTTGTTTTAAATTTCTATCAATATGTTGTTTGGCTCAAACCATTTTTCTTCCTCCATGCTGCTAGACTATCTAGAGATAGAGAGATGGGATTTATCCTCCAGATCTTAGATGTTACCTTGTAAATGGCAAAGCATATGGCCACACCCATGTCCCTACGGTACTGGAAAGTGGGTGGGAACCCAAATAAGACTCTGCTATTACCCTTGTCAGACTCCCAAATCCTGGTATTTTAGGATTTTAAGAAACTGCAAAGCAGTTAGATCTATTAGAATGTGAAGACTTCTGGCTGGGCGTGGTGGCTCAAGCCTGTAATCCCAGCACTTTGGGAGGCCGAGGCGGATGGATCACGAGCTCAAGAGACCAAGACCATCCTGGTCAACATGGTGAAACCCCGTCTCTACTCAAAATACACAAAATTAGCTGGGCATGGTGGCGCGTGCCTGTAATCCCAGCTACTCAGGAGGCTGAGGCAGGAGAATGGCCTGAACCCAGGAGGCGGAGGTTGCGGTGAGCCGAGATCATGCCATTGCACTCCAGCCTGGGTAACAAGAGTGAAACTCTGTCTCAAAAAAAAATAATAAATAAATAAATAAAAAAGGAATGTGAAGACTTCTAACATAGCAGATGAGTTAATGCTGATGTAATTTATGGTGTGGAGTGAAGTGATAAGAATGTCTTTCCACTGACTTCTGGTCTCCATTGTTTCCAATGAGAAGTCAGCTGTAACTCTTGTTATTGTCCAGACGCATAGTAAGCAACAAATAAAAATGTGTGTTGAATCGATGGATTAAAAATAGAACCAAGATTTTTGACACATATCCCAATGTTCTTCCAAGAATACTCTATCACTTCTTTGTAAAACTTTCCTGTGCACATTTAATGTACTCCCTGCAGCTTCTGTGGGGAATTAAATCAAATAAATGACTAATTCAGGTAATTTTGGTAAACATGGACATTAATGTGATCACCAATTACATTCTGTGTTTCTAAGAGGCCTCCCTGACTCTGAAGTATCTGAAAGGTTGAACAACCCTAATCATTTAACACGTGTTTGCCATTTAACAAATGTTTGGCATTTTACAAGTATTATTGAGCATCCACTGTCCACAAGACACTGTATGATTTAACGTGATGGACACAGAATTGAACATGAGCTAAAACTTGTCTTCAGGTACCCAGCTAATATTATTTGTTCATCAAGGTTTCAGGGAAACCATGGACAGAAGGTAAGACTTGGAACCTTTCACAGAACTGCAGATTCTCGGGGAGTAGCTTGCCTGTCACCTTGTAATATTATTTACCTCATTGTCTCTAATCATTAAGGGTCTCAGCCTTATGTGAAACATCTGTCAGCATTAAGACAAAATCTTGAAAAGCAGGCATTTTGATGTGACCCAGCTGAGATGTCAGGCATATTCCTATGTTCTTGCATTAATTTCTTAAAACTATCTTCCCATGCATTTTACCGTGGTTGCACATCGCACTGTTAGGTTTGTTTTGGTGCTAATATCCTCGTTAAATAATTCTACATAATTGCAAATTTGGGGGTGTGGACACGGCTACGTTTTCCTTGACTCCTTCTTTGTCGTTGTAATTTTTTTCCAGATGAGTTATGCCTTAAACCATACAAATAGAAAACTAACACTGGAACCTAAAATAACCGTCAATGCCAGGATTGTCGTGGTTGGTGCATCCAGTGTTGGAATTTCTTTCCTAGAGACGTTGGTATTTTGGTGAGTTGTTTTACTATACTGATTGATTGGTTTTTAAATAATAAAAATTATCTCCCTACATCTGAAGAGAACCCCTTCAGAGAACAGACCTGACATTGTTTGCTACTCCACACACCCTGAATGAATGAATGAATCAGTGGAAGAATATTCTAGATCAGGGGTAGCAAACTATAG